AAAGGGAGATAGCGTTATCGTAAGTGTCAACTGACGTCAAAGCTCAATCGATTATACTAGATTAGTTTCGGATATAAAATACATACATCCATAAAAAAAAAATAATAAGAGACACAGAAAGTACGTCACTACTAGTATAGAGGACAGGATCAACGATCTTGATTTTTCACTCTTCGAGTTTTAGTTACGTAGAAAAGTTATTTTTTTATTGGAGTTTACTCCTTAAGAATCGATTTTCATAAATAAGGCGCCCGGTATGAGAAAAATATGAGGGGTAAAATCTACTGATGAATGACCTCGTTACGTTTTTGGTGCGCAACCTCTATTCTGCGCAAACTTTCTCTTTTTAGGCGCGAGCATTCAAACGTTCACGGGGTATGTTGCGGGTCAGCTTACGCATTAAGTATACCTATATATGTTATTAGTTATTAGTAATAACTTATTACTATATAAAATATATAGGTATATAATATATACAGCCGCGCATATTAATTTAAATAGGTATTCAAGTTTATAGTTGAATTGAAAATTGTAAATTCGGCCGTTTCTAAAGTCTCAATGTTGAAAATCTAAAATTATGCCCATTGTCAAATTTACTAAACCTAAAAAAAAGACTGCTAATGTGGGCAAAAAGAATATAACGCCAAGTGTAAATTGAGCGTAAAGTAAAAAATGACAAAGAAAAAATCCGCGAATTTTCGAAAAAGAACATCTAAAAAGGCAGTCACTTAAAAATAAAAAATTCAAATAAAATGCTGCATTAATAAAATAATGCCAATCTGACATAAGCTAATTTATGAAAATGATTCTAAAGAATAATTCAAAGTAACAAATAAACGAAAAAAAATATTGAAATTTAAAAAGATTGTCATTTCTCAAATAATAATATTTTAAATATTGAATTTCTGTAAAATTGAAAATCGTAAATGTTGCGGAGGTTTTATCGTAAATTTTATATTTTATTTATAATTGATATAAATATAAATTTATATCAATTGTATTTATTTCAAAATTGAGAAAATTACTCAATGAATAAAAATCAATCTATAGATGTGTCATGCATACTCTAAGTAATATAAGAAATACATTCATTTACCCTTATTAATTAATCTATTTATTTTATAATCGTTCGTAAGGAGTAAACTCCAGTCGTGCGTCGGAGCTGACACACACTTTTTTATTTTTTTTTTTTTTATTGTCTTTATACTTTATATAGTTACCATGCATGTAATGGAGGCACCGTGGGTTACGCCCCCGCTTATATTCACTCTCTCTAAATGTACCTCTCTCTCAGTATTTTCGCAGACTATTTCAACCCCCAGCGCTCGTATCAGCTCTTTTACACAGAAACTCTCGAGCAGACCCTTCCCCTTCCCCACTTTCGTGGCAATTCATTCAGCTGGCGCCCACGCATCCCTCTCTGACCCCGTCTAGTCTATGACGTCATTCGCCGCTATCGCGCAAATTCAACCCCATACGGGCTCCTCTTGCAAAATCCTTGTAACTTGCAAAAATTATATTTCGACACCGATCGAAGAGTTTATTAACTGTTAATGAATTCATTAAATTGGAATCAATTTGTTCGTTTATTGAATGGAATATTTGTTTTTAACTATTGATAAATATTTATTAACAGTTAACTAATATTTATCAATAGTTATTTATTTATTTATAGTTATTTAATTTTTTTGGAGTAAAAATCTCTTGTTTACGGTACTATGTAAAAATCATTCATAAACAAACAATGCAATTACGTTTTATAATAAATATACTATTCACTAATTATTTTCACCGCTAAAAAATTCAATTATTAGAAAAATTGTTTGATTATTAATTTTATTTTTTATAATCTTTTATTCAAATATAATTAATAATTCTGATCTGATGGAATTATCTATTGAAATTATCGGGTTGTAAAAAGTATCAAAGTAGAACTTTTACACTCACTTTTTATCCAAGGGTCTAAACAAATATTCATTAACATTTAATAAATATTTATAAATAATCAACAAACTGTATTTAATAAACGATGTGTTAACTATTAATAAATATTTCTTAATTATTAACAAATTTATTAACTGTTAAGAAATATTTTTTAAGTATTAACGAACATTTATCGGCTGTTAATCTTATTTAATTAATAAATGATTCATTAATTGTTAACAAATAATTATTCAGTCATTAAATGTTTGGAAAATCATTTATTAACAGTTAAAAAAGCTTATCAAATATCAAAAAATCCTTCTATGTCATTGATGTTTTTTATAGATAATTTTTTTTTAATTTTTATAAAATTTCAAAAAATTTCAATTTTTTATGAATATTTATTTTTATATCCGCACGAATATGAGTAGGGCACGTTACCACACTGTAGAGTGGAAGTATAAGTAGTAACAGACAGAACGAGTATAGATATATGTCTGTCCGTAAGCTCGACTCGTATCGAGTGAGCCTTTCACTCTTGTACTCACTTCAGTTCAGATTTAACACTTGATCTATACGGATCTCGTTTATCAAACAACCTCAGACCGTTTATTTTATATAACATATCTATTTGTATTATTCAATAAGTTAATAACTGTTTATTCGCTGTAATTTATTGTTGCGGCTCGAGTTTTTATTTTATTACGCAACTTTTTATTCGTCGACCAGGGTACATATTTTTTTAAATTTTATCAGTAATATCAATTCTCAGTAGAATATTGTATTATGTTCTGAAGTTTAAAATTTTTTATTAATATAAAAAAATGTTATTTTTTGTGAATAATTTTTTCATATTGCTGTAACATATGTTACAATTTTTTCAAGTGTTTGATTTATTCGAATATTTTATTAATTATTTTAATAATTTTATTGGAAAGTTATGGAGTTGTTTAGGAAATATTCGGAGCGTTTGCCATTAAAAAGTTTTTAAGTGAAAAATATTTACACTGATATGGGTGTTAATTTTTGGAAAAAAATATTTGTACAGCTGTTTGGAGTTTATTTTTGATAAGTAGATTATAAGCTTGGAAAATAGTTTTATCTAGACAGAAATTTTATGGGATATCGAGAAAAACAAATATTTTTGACGATGCATTTATTTATTTCTAAGACATATTTTATCGGATTAATTGTTTTTGGGGGTGATAGATTTAAATAAGACATTTTAATGTATAAGCATATATAATTCTATTAATATAGTAGGAATTGTTATTAACTTTTGCAATTTTGGTGATTGGTGAGAATTTCGATTATTTTTTGCCATTATATATTGAAAAATTAATGTTGTAAAAAATTTTCTGTTAAAGTTGAATTGAAAAATTATAATTTTTTTTGTTTGAAATTTTTATGATTATATATGTTTTTTAGAACGAATATAATTTGTTTTTCAAGTTATTAAAGATCAAACAGTTTTAAGATCGATTAATTCTTGAAACACTGATTTTATGATTTGTAAAAAACTTTTTTAAGACTTGAGTATTTTTGCTATTTATAGTTAATATTGTGTCAAAAATGATTTATTTTAGGAATTTTAGTATTTGTTCAGAGTTGCCGTTGCTATTTTTGGATCCAACATTTTGAAAAATTGATGATAAGAAACTTTTCTATGAAATATTTATTTGGTGAATTTACAAATTCGAATTCTTTGGAGTAAACTTAATTTATAAAATTTAAAATTTTCCAGTTGACTTCTATTTGCTCAAAATTTTTATAACTATATGTTTTCGAACGCAAATAAATTTTTGTCCTTTGAACATATTAAAGAACAATATTATAATAAAAAAATTTCTTTAAATGTCAAAATTATTCGTTTGTTAAATTTTAGTAATTTTTTTAGAAGCAAGACTGTTATTTCTGATTACAAAATATTAAAAATTTGGGATATAAATGATATATTGATGAATTATAAATATATTTATATGAATGAATTGAAACATTTTTTGTAATCATAATTGTATAGAGTAAAGTAAACTTTTTAATTAAAATATTTTACAATTAAGCGACTTATGCTTAAACTTTTTATTGAATATCTTTTGAACAATGAAAAATAAATTTGAGTCCATTTTTCAATTCTTTATTATTTACTTTTTTTTTTTAACTAAAAATTAACTTTTTTAATAATTTTTTTTAAATCGAGATATTTACTTTTCTTAATTTTATTTCATTTTCAATTGTTCTTGTTTATTTATTTAATTTTTATTTAGAGTCGGTTTTTAACTACTGTGTTCATATCGCCGACTTTAACTGTTGGGAGTAGCACGTTGGGGTCTTTTTGGGTTGTGAGAATCTTAACCTACGCGGCAAGGGTCAAATCTCAACCAAGCTGATTTCTAAGACCAGCTTGGGATTCGAACCCACGCCTGGCTGGTGAGTTAGTTGGAGTGCTCTATAGGCCGTGCGCCTTTGACCACTGGGCAAACGTCACCGGTTTTTTTAATTGTTCTATTTTTGATAAACTTTAAAAGTCTACACTTCAGCTATTTCTGCTCAAAATTTTTATAATTAAATGAATTTCCAGAAATTTCAAAAAGAAAACAATTTGAAAAATAAAATTTTGAGTCAACTTTTTAATTCCTCTCAATTAGGGTACGGAAAGTGCCCTCTTTTAATTGGTTAAACTTATAAACAGTTATTTGAACGGTGGTGAAAGTCCGGGCCCTATTCATGACTTTTTCATTTCAAATAACAAAATTGATTTTTTTTATCATACAATTTCTTTCTAATTGTTTCATTTTTGATAAAGCTTAAAACTCTGCACTTAAGTCATTTTGCTAAAAATTTTTATTCTTTAATAAATTTTCAACAATCCCAAAATCAAAATTTAATTTAATCGTCCATTTCGAATTCAAAAAATTGACTTTTTAAAAATCTTATCTTACTTTGCCTCAACTTAAAAAAAAAAAAAAAAAAAAAAAAAAACATTTATATTTTATTACTACAAAACTAACTATAAATTTCTTTTGTTCCAGTGTGGCTCCCTGGACATCGACGAAGCCCGCCAGCGCCGAGTAAATAGAATGGAGTCGTTGTGTCAAGTGGTAGCCAAAAGCACTCCCAAATTAAGCAATACCCAAGACACCAAGACCACCAACGACAAGAACAACAACAGCACCACCATCACCAGCAACAACAGCACCCCCACCAACAATCAAAACCACAATACAACAACCAAAAACACCCTCAACAGGAGTTACAAGTCCTCCTTAATAAACTCAATAATTGACGGAGGTGGAAATGGAGGTGGCGGAGGTGTTAACAACAGCAGCAAGCTCCACAAAGACAGTGACTGCCCAAACGACCCTCAGCAGAGACTGGCTGTGTTGTCTTTTGAGCAAGTCCGCCGATTGAACGACGTGATGAACGAAGTGGTGAGCATCCACGGGAGAGGAAACTTTCCAACTCTGGAGGTTAAATTGCGGGACCTAGTGACAGTCGTTAGGTCGAAGCTCGAAGAAGATCCAAGCAATGGAGGGGCTGGAATGCGAGTTAGAGACATCAGGCTAAATGGTGGAGCAGCTTCCCATGTCCTGGCCACCGAATCCCAGCCTTACAACGACCTGGACCTGATATTTGCAGTGGAGCTGACCTCGCCTAGAAACTTTGACCGAGTGAAGGCTGCAGTCCTTGGCTCACTGTTTGATCTCCTTCCTGAAGGCGTCAGTCGCAAGAGAATCACTACTTGCAGCTTGAAGGAAGCGTATGTCAGCAAAATGGTGAAAGTCAATGATGGAGACAGGTGGTCTCTTATTTCCCTGGGAAATTCCCGCGGACACCGCAATGTCGAGCTTAAATTCGTGGACACCATGAAGAGACAGTTCGAATTCTCAGTTGACTCCTTTCAGATTGTCCTGGACTCCCTGCTGCTGTTCTACGAGTGCAGCAAACTCCCAATTGGGGAAAATTTCTACCCTACGGTTGTTGGAGAGTCTGTTTATGGAGACTTCCAGGAGGCGCTGTATCACTTACAAAAAAAGTTGATCTCCACGAGGCACCCGGAGGAAATCAGAGGTGGAGGCCTGCTGAAGTACTGTAATCTTCTAGTGAAGATGTATAAACCGGCGCAGCCTGATTACATTAAGACTTTAGAGAGATACATGTGCTCGAGATTTTTCATTGATTTTCCAGACATCAATCAGCAGCAAGCCAAGCTGGAGAACTACTTGTGGAACCATTTTGTTGGTCCCGAAGAAGAGGCTCTTAAGTATCAGTACCTGATGCTTCTGCAGAGTGTCGTTGAAGAGTCAACTGTTTGTCTGATGGGTCATGAGAGAAGGCAGACCTTGGCGCTGATCGAGAACCTGGCCTTCCAAGTCCTTTATCAGGAGCAGCAGCGGCTAAATAGTCAGCAGTCCGCGGTCGCTGTTGCAGCTGCTGCTAATGGACAGCCTGCTTATGTTTACACCAACACTGGGTTCTACTACCCCGTGATACCGACCGCTTGTTACACGTGTACTTGTAATTCGTGGATGGCTTGTTCTTCGTGATGTGATTCTACTCAAGTTAATTTTAATTTTTATGGTTATGATGATAATAATAATGATGATGATGATGATGATGATGATAATAATGATGATGATGGTTGTTGTGATGAATGAAATAGTTTTAACAATGGTTGAAGTTTGGTAGTATTGACCATTTTTCTTCGCGGGGGAATTATTATTATTATTATTGCTATTATTGTTGTTGTTGTTGTTGTTGTTATTATTGTTGTTATCATTTATTGGTCTGCAAATTGTCTCAAATTTTTTTTAATTGAGAGAGAAAAAATAATTTGTTATTTCAATTTTGTGAGCAATTTTTGAATCTTAAGTGAGAATTTTGAAAGCGAAGCAAGTTTGGGAACTGATTTTTCTTCTGTAATAATTAGTTCGTTTAAAAAATGTAAGTTTAAAATGTATTAAAATAATCGTGTGAAAATATCTTAGTTTTTAAAATTCGTCCCAAAGATCAGTAGGAAAAAATTTTTTAGGATCGATCAAAATTTTTAAAAGTTCATGTCAAAAATTGAATTTTTTTGTTTTCAATAAAGTACATTCTCAAAATTAAAAGTCGAAATTTCCATTTATAGAAATCGCTGAAGATTTTTAAAACTTTTTTCAGATGACGGATAAATATTTGGAAATTAAGAACACAGTATCAATTATTTTTTTGTCAGACTTTTATAGATTTCTTTTGTGGTTTATTTATATTGTTTAGTGTGTCAAATTTATAGAAATAAAATTTAACGTTCGTTGATATTAATATTGACAAGTTAAAAGAAAACATTTTAAGTACTGTAATACTTTGAAAGTTTAAAAAATCTTGAGCGAGTCCTAAAGTATTCCATTATCGATCTGATTTTTGTCGAGAGCTTTTAAAACAATAGAAACTAACATATTCTCATAGTCGACTCGAAAAAAAATAGTCGGTTTTTTTGCGCCACTTTAGTGTAGTAGAAATTTAAGAAATTTGTGGATTAAATTTTTTTATTCATTTTTTCGTTTGATAAAAATAAAAAATTTCGAATGCTTGATTTTAGTATAAAAAAAATGTTAAAGCGACTTCAAGTATAAAAGTTGATGATTGTAATGAATAATGAAATAAATATGAAAGACAAGATCTTGGATGTTATTTTAGAAGTGAGAAATTGACACACAATGACTGAAGGCCCGAAATTTAGGGTAATATGATGTAATTTCCGTGATCTATAAATAAAATATTTCCAGAATGAAATAAAAATAAAAATAGAAGAGAAGTAATTTATCTATTAGGGATAATTTGCAGGCACGAAGAAAGATAAATTATTTATAAGTTATTTGTTTCAAAGACTACAACATATATGATAATTACGATGATGATGATGATGATGATGATGATAATTACGATGAAGAGAAATAATTATAATTATTCATTGATTGTTAGTTTTAAACTGAATTTTTATGCGCTTTAATTTTCATTATTATTATTATTATGATTATTATTATTATTATAACTATACGATTATTAATATTATTACTACTACTATCACTATTATCATTATTATTAAATTAAATATTATTAATATTAAATATTACTAGAATGTGACTGATTCTGCAAATGGATTTTTGTTATGATTAATCGGGTGCAATTTGTTATTATAAATTCTAGTGGGTGTTATTTGTGTATTGTATAAATATATTGAATGTGCAAGTGAGGATTCAGCGCCCGACAACTAAATTTAAACTTTAGTTTGTTATTCAATTTGTTTGTGGTCTTCGTAGTCAATTGTTTAATTGTTAAATTAGGACAAGAGGCAAGCTAAAAAATTTAAAACTTTCTTTTACAATTGGATGAATCTTCGTTTATTTTTTTAATAGAAAGCATTTTCAAATTCTTTTTTCTCTTGTCCTTCTGATCCGATGTCAAAAATTGAAAAGAAAAATTGAGGGGTTGTACGGACTAAGAACACTGAAAAAAAGGATTTTTGAATAATCATTTCTGACAGTACTTTTTAAATATGAAAATTAATATACTTAAAGTAGTAATTTTAATTTTAAGTTATTTTTTTTTTCCAAATGATTATTTTTCGAGTTACTGTAGATAATCTACAGAGGTACTTCAAAAAAATGTGTCTTGAGGTGAGCACGATATCTTCAGTTTTTGATCAAAATTTGAAAATCTAAAATATTATTTGGTGATTATAAAGTTATCAAAGTCTTTCTGAATCACCAGAAAAACTAGAAAAGTATAGATTCTGATTCTGTCAAAAAAATCAAGACGAAATTATCAAATTTTTAAAATCTTGGTTTAATATTAAAGATACGAAAAAAACATAAGATACTTTTTTTTTGTCGGAAGTTTCATTTTTTGCCCAAAAAGTCCTTATGAATTTCTGTCTATCTCTTATAAGTTGACCGAAATTTCAATTTCAAATTGGATTTCAAGCGTTTCCGATTAGATTAGGTGTTTAGAAAGTTTGAAATTTAAGTTCTGGTTCAAATACTGAAGATACGGAAAAATTATATAAGACCTTTATGGTGGGAAATTTTATTTTAAGAAAAAAGCCTCTTTTTTAACAAATGACAATTGAAAAATAAAAAAAATCGATCTTTTTTTTTAAATTCTAAGTGCATAACCCCTTAAATAAAAATAAAAAAATTTACAAAGTTTAATTTTATTTGTATTATCATTTCTAAAAGGTGTGTTACTTTATAACAATCTAAAATTAAATTATTAAATATTTTTATCATTATAACTGTTTATAATGACCAAAAATATAATTAAAATTGTTAACGGGTCAGGTCATTCCGAAAATGGTTTTATTATATAATTAATAATTAGAAGATTTTATCCAAGAAATATTAATGGGCGAGGAAATGCTTTGTAAAAATATTATTGCGGTAAAAGTAAAAAGTATAAATAAAAATATATAATAAATAAAAATAAAATGAAATAAAAACATGTATGCGTATATAATTATTATCTTAAAAAATAAAATAATAATAATAATTATTATTATTAATATTGATACACATAATATGAATTAAATATTAAATATTAATTATTAATGTGTGGCTGTGATCACATTTCATTTTTAGATAATATCTACAAACTTGTAAGATTTGCAAAAAAAAAAAAAATAAAAAAAAATCAACAAAACAAAAAAAAATAATTTACTATATATGGTTGTGCGAAGAAAATAAATGTGTGCATATGTAAAATGTATTTTTAATTAAATCGATTCAATTAAATTAAAAGAAATTAGCTCACTTTATTTCACACAGTAGGCATTTTATATAAATATATAAATATAAATATATATATTCATTGTAAATTAATTAATTAATAAATAATACTTGATTTTTTTAATTAATTCATATAATTATAATTACATACTTGAATCCTTAACCCTGTAACTTTAAGTTTAAAATGCCTACTTGCGATTTGTTGCAGACAGATTTGTTATTTTTAAATATTAAATTGAAAATTAACAAAAAGAAAAACTTGACTGTAAAAATCCTCGCCTACTGCAACGCTTCCGTCAATATTTTTTTCTACACATAATTTTTTTACGATGTTTAAAGATTATTTTATAAATGTTTACTGGAGATTTTACATTAAGTGTAACTAGTTCTCTAGGCCGTGCTTGCTAAATGTATTACTGTTAACAATAACAATAATAATAACAACAAATAATTTATTGAAATTGAAACTAACAATAATAATGATAATAATAATAAAATAAGTCCAAATAAAAATATCAGATGTACTACATATGAAATAAATGATTAAGGTTTGTATAGATTATATTACAAAAATAATATAGTAATAGACTGCGATCTCTCAATCGGTTCGATGTGTTGACGTATGACCCCGTTAACTATACACTTATATACATTTAATGTAACAATCTTTCATTAGTATATCTATATTGGCCCTCAGCTAAATCATATTCTTTTATGTTACTGTATTTTTAATTTAAAATTATTAAAACATTTTTGGAGGTTTTTATATTGGACGAGGGTAAAATTTTAGCATTTAAAAGTGGATGAAATTTTTTGAAAACTGATATATGAATGGCCGCCTCATTTCAAAAAACAGTACAGTGATAGAAGAATTTATTAAATGTTAATTTTTTTCATTTATTAAATAATTATTAACAGTGAATAAATTTATTAACAGTTAATAAATGATTCATGAAATGTTAACAAATCTTATTAAATTATTTAATGTTAAAAAATCATTTATCAATAGTTAATAAAACTTATTAAATATTAAAAAATATTAGCGTGGTAACAAAAATTTTTTTATCTTTTCTAAATTGATAAGATTTTTTTATTTAGTTATTAAAAATTTAACAATACCAAAAAAAACAGAACTAAAAATTTTGCAGTTACCTTGTTTTGATATGGGACAACAGCGAATTGTTTAGAAGTATTTTAAAAATTATTTAAAATTTAATAACCACTGCCTTCTTTGATAACTCTCAATTGTATTACGTTGTCACTTCATAGTTTCGCGAAAGTAAATCTTAATTTGAAAATAATAAAAAAAGACAAGTTTATAAAAATGAAACTGGTTTTTCGAGTTACCAGCCACTGAGCAGCAAACATCTTTTCTTGTCTTGTACTTATATGTATAAATACTAACGCAAACGCTAACTAACTTTAAAAGTTTTTCCCCCCGTACTAATTAATCGTTGACGCCTCCGATATAATTCTCAATTAATTGGTTTGAATTATCTCATGGAGAAAAATTCATATTGAAAATATGTTAATAATATAGAAAACTGTAAATGATATGTATAAAAATTTATTTTCAATAGCTAACTTTTGCCAAATTTTGTATATATTTTATATATCTTAATTGTAATAGCGATTCGTCTTTGAAAATATAAAAAAAATTTAATTTGAGGTATAAAATAATTTCAGTATATTGTTATGGATATTTTCAATTATTTAGTTTGGAAAAATTTTCACATATATGTATTTTAAAGTAGTGCAAAACGACTATTTTTTTTTTCTTC